ATATAAAGACTAAACAATTCTTTCTGATTTTTTTTAAAACATTGATAATGGGTAATGGGATCATGAATAATTTCTATTTTTTGTATTTTACTTAATATCCTACCCTAAAAAATCTACTTAATAAATAAATTAACATTTTTTTAAAAAGTTATTAAAGTTCCATAAAAGTAAAAAAAAAAAAATTAACTTGTTGCTTGGTCCAACATTTCCAAGGACATTCTATTTACAAAATGATTTGGGGGGCGGTGGGGGGCTAGTGGTGCCAGGGAGGTCTGGGGGTGGATGCTTAGGCTCTGGAAGGGCTAACCTGACCTGGGTCAGGGCAGAAGCAGCTGTCCCCTGAGCTTGGGCTGGAGCCTGGGTGGGAATCTAGAAGGGAGCACTGTGGGTGGGTAGAAAACGACCCACCCCACGGTGCTGCATGGGCCCTAATAGAAGTGGCTGGGGGCTCCCGGCTGCTCACCGAGACCATCCTGCCCTCGGAGGGCATGAAGGCGGGCCGGTTGCTGAGGCGCAGCTTGGTCTGCAGCGTGTTGAAGTTGATCTCCAGCTGGCACTTCTCCTGCACCTTGGGCGGCTTGTGCAGGCGCCGGTAGTCGCGGAAGTCCTCCAGCTTCTGCTGCATGGCGTGCATGGTGTTCTCGGGCACCCGGTTCTCCAGCCAGGGGATGGTGCGGCGGATCCACTCCAGCAGCTGGAGGGAGAGCGTAGAGGCCCTGGGGCTGAGGATGCTGGGAGCGGGAGTGCTTACTCCCTTCGCAGGGCAAAGGGTCTCTCCCCACAGCACAGTCCTTCCCTTCTACCATCCTTGGGCATTCCCAGGCCATGAGGCCAGGGTCCAGGGTGTTCCCTTTAAGAACCAGAGGCTGCATGAAGCCTGGCTACTGGGACCTGTCAATTTGTGGCCAGCTTCATTTCACCCTATCCACCCTGCAGGGGAAGAACCATGGAACCGTCGGCTGCTGGCCGAGTGTCAGAGTCCTGAGTTCTAGTTCCAGGTCCTACTAACTGAGTGGGCCTGTTTCTTTGTCTATGCCACAGACAGAGGATCTAAAGGCTGCTACCTGAGGTCCCTGCCACCAGATTTTCTGGGATTTAGCTCTCTTCTAGGGTAGAGAGCTGCCTAGGGAACAGTCTGCTTGCTTTTCCTGAGTCAAGGTAATGGTGGTGGAGAAGACGAAGGAGGAGTAGAAATGATGGCAAGTACATGCAACACCTGCAGGGTGCCAGGCACATCCCACGAATTAACTCATCTGAATAATCACAGGAATTTTATGGTTTAAGTATGTGACCTCCCCTGGACATGGAGGAGGCAACCAATGCCCAGCATGGGACTGGCTATGGCAACCTGGCTGGAACAGTGGATCAGAGATTTAAGCCCTGGCTCCTCTCTACTTTCTGAGGGAGCCAGAGCAGAGCCCAAGCTGTCCCATGCTAACTGTGTCAGGATCATGGATGACACCCAGCCTAGGACTATGTCTCCATGATAGATTTGGAGGTATAGGTTCTGGGGGCTCCTTTTCCCTCAGGATGATGAGGTGCAGGAAGGACCCTGCTGGGGCCAAGTCAGGAGAAACCCAGAGGGTACCCACATCGCTGGCCAGCTTCTCGTAGTCTTCCATTAGCTGCTCGTTCTCCTGGTTGACCGCCAGTACCTTGCAGATGCGATTGGCAGCTGTCTCCGCCTGGCAACAAGACAGAGAGTCATGAGTAGCCGGCCCCAGTAGCAGGGGCACCTGGACACACCTGTGCTGACCATGCTCCTCCTCCTGAAGCTCCCTGTGGATGGAAGGGAGCCTCCGAGGTCCTGAAGTCATATCCCTCCTCCCTCTTCCTCACCACCCTCTTTGCCAGCTCCCATGGCCAGGTCTCGTGGGTCATGGGAGCCTGGATAATGGTCTCAGTGGCTGACCCAGGGTCCTAGAGAAGGATCTGAGTCTGGGACCCAACATGCATGTTGGAAAGAAACCAATCCAACGACAGTTACACTCAAAAAGCACTCAGATCAGGTGGAGAGGTGAAGAAATGCACGCCCATCCTGAGATTGCAAGTGGAGGCCTTGGATGCAAAGGTTCAGGGCCTTAGTCCAGATGTGCAAGGATCTTAGAGATGTGGGAATTCAAATCTGGGAGTCTAGGGAGAAGATGCCAGCTGAAAAATAGGAAAAGCTCTAAGAATCTCTGCTAAGGATCCCTGCAGAACCTCCCAAGAACCTTGGCCCATCAGGAAACCAAAGGGCATAATAAGGGCAGGACAAGGGATCATCCCAGCACGGTCACTGCTGGGAAAGCTAAGTGCTGGACACACAAACACCACAGACAGGCCTCAGCCTTGAGAGGAAAGAAAGGGGACAGAATGGTAACCAGACATAGGCCTGGAGTTCCCTCAGAGACCCATCTTCCGCAGCCTAACACCAGCAAGGGTCCCACTTTCCTCCATCTACTTCACTTAGGAGGTTTGGGGATGGAGTTGTGTCCTTGTACACTCTGCCTCTACACCGAAGGACAGCGAACTCCATGACCTCTGGGGGCCACAGGGCAGAAGACAGCCAGAGTCGGAGAAGATAATGCCTGGGGGGAGAAAGAGATGCATCCTGGGAATATAGAGAAAGGTGACCTGCAGCCAATAAAGGATGCCCGATTTACAGGGAAGGAAGACTTGAACTCACATCTGGTTGATGAACGCAACAAAAAGGGTTTCAACTGCAGCAAGACTACCTGAGGCCAGGCAGAAGGAAGAACCTGAGAATGAGGACTCTTAGAACTGGCAGGAATGATGGAGAAGACGCAGAAGCTTTTTCTGTGAAGAACTTTTCAAATAGGATGCAGGCCCGCAACTCACGGGCCTTGTGAGTGACTGTGCTGGGGTATACATCGGGGTGGAACAGAATGAGATCATCTGTCATCACCTCAAGGTCCCTTCGAGTGCAAAATCGAGAGACTGTATGTTACAGGGCAAGGTGTGAGAGTGGGCTGAGACTTTACCAAGAAAATGTGGGGATGGCTTGAGGGTGACCTAGGAGTCCTTTGGACAGAGACTTCAAGGTCTTCAGAAACTGGGGCAAGGCGTCATCCTGAGGCCCTCATCTCCTGTCCCCTGTCCTGGAGCTTCCATGGCCATCTCTCAGTGGAACTCCAGATTGGCATCATTCCTCTTGAGAACCACTGAGTAATAACGGGGAATCCCAGAAGGCCCTGAGGAGGGAAACTCCCCCCCTGGAGCCTGTGCATAGATGCGGTTCAGAAAGAAAGCAGGGTCATGGAAAACAAGCCCATGAGGCTGGCTGGGGCGGGCACACTGCCCGAGGTCACTGAGGGCACCTCCACTGAGGACGAGGGCAAGGACCAGGAAGAGCAGAGGCGTTTGACTCCAGGCTGAAATTTACGTAAGGAGGTGGGGTGGCCGCAGACCCTGCCACTAATGCCCTCATGAGCAGAAAAGGATCGGGTAGCTACCCATCACGGCTGAGCAGCGGCTGCAGCTGTGATTTCTGACAGGAGAAGCCCACCTGCACCTCGCTACCCTCCTGATGGATGCTGAATCCTGGGCTCCATTGCCCTAAATTGTGACGTATACGTCATCAAACTGATGCTATGGGTGGCGTCTGAGTTGGTGGGATTTTAGATGTGTCCATGGGCCTCAAGAGCCTTGCCATCCCCCAGGGTCACTTGGGGCATCTTTGGATGAAGTCTGGGGGAGATTCCCATGTGGGCCTCTGGGGGACTTTTCACAAAGATCCAACTTCTTTCCCAAGCCTGTGTCCTGGCCTGTCCCTCCCAGGGGGGCCTCAGCAGGAGAGGATGACTGAGAACAGGACCAACACAATCACAGTCCTGCCTTTGGGGACCACAGGGACACTGCACATGACACCAAAGGTCACTTTCTTTTTTTTTTTTTTGTGGTTCTTGGGATTGAACCCAGGGCCTTTTGCATGCAAGGCAAGCACTCTACCAACTGAGCTATGTCCCCAGCCCCAAAGGACGCTTTCTTTAGAGAGGGTCTATGGGCAAACATTTCTGGGTTGCCTCAGAAGTCAGCACTGTTACCTCCAGGAAGCAGGAACCTGAAACTTGATTTTGTTTTTAAATATTTTTAGTTGCAGATGGACATCATAACTTTTATTTAATTGTTTATCTATTTATGTATATCTATCTATTTGTTTGTTTATTGTGTGTGGTGCTGAGGATTGAACCTGGTGCTTCACCCATGCAAGGCAAGCACTCTCCCACTGAGCCTCGACCCGAGCCCCACACTTGATGTTTAGAGAAAAACAAGAAACCTTGCTGCTTCCCTCACCCTCACTGCCGACTTCCTCACGGCCCAAAGGAGCGTGCCGGGGGCGTGTGCTAAACTTACTGTTAAGTGGCTCAGTTACCACCAAGCCCCTTCCAGGAGGTAAGAAGAGGTCAGCCGGGAAGCACCGGCTCAGCTGGGCCTGGAGTTCAGGGAAGCTCCCGTCCATGACCCCAGTCATCACTTTCTAGCTTTCCCCCCATCACTGCAAGAACCCCACGCACCATGGGGTTAGGAGAGCGACACCCAGACCATAAGGATCTCAGAGCCCGAGGGAGAGGTGGTCCCAGGAAGGAAAGAAATGCCCTGGGGGAATTGCAGAAATGGAAGCAGTTTCAAAAGAAGACCCAGGCAAGTCCCCACTTCAGCTTGGTTCCTGCCAAAGGAGAGGGGATGCTCGGAACCCCAAAGCAAAGAACCAGAATGCCCCAGCCTTTCTGATGAGGACAGATTGGTATGAGATCACATGATGTAAGCACAAATAAGCAAGGGGCAGAGAAGACACAGAAATAGGCAAGGTGCTTTCCAAGTGTCAGGGAAAAGACACCAGAAGTTGTGTTTCCTGTTCCGCAGTTTGTACTTTCACGTCTTTCTGCGACCTACTTTCCATCTGTACTATCATCCAGCTTAACACACAGCAGGACACTCCGTTTGGTATCCGAGGTAAGTTTTAAAAGGACTGTGGGCTGTTACCTCTGGAGAACTTCACAACCCAAAACAGTGGTTCCCTTCATAGTCAGCACCAAATCATCTGGTGCAGGTAGAGGCCAGAGAGGAAATGTCCTCAACGTGACATAAAATATCCAAAGAGGAACTGGCCGGAGGGTGGCAGAGCCCCTCTCTCCAGCTGCACCTTGGCTCCCCCAGGAGTCCCCACTCTATAGCGGCCAGACAAGGCAAACTCACTCTCCTTTCTAGGGCTTCTGTCCCTGCACAAGTTGCAGCCACCTTTCTCCACCCGTGTTTGCCCCTTCCCAATGGGAACCCTGATTCCACCCTGAGCCCCAAGGTCAAGTGCTGCTGCTCAGGAAAAGCCCACAGTCAACCTCCCCTGCTCGGATCTGCAGCAGAACGAGCACTGCTCAGGCCCGACGGCTCCCCGTGTCCAGGGCTTTCCCAGACAGACCATGAACTCCAAGGGCAGGAATGGGGTTCCTCCCTGAGAAAGTCCACAGCAGTGGAGCATGTGCCTGATGGACCCATGGATCCCTCCATCCCGAAAAGCATCCAGAAACACCTGCATCAGACCAAGCTCCTGCCTACAAGGGCTGATTCTCAGGAACAAGTTCCTAAAAGACCATGAACTTCAAAGGAAAAACTATGTAAACCAAACCTTGAGATGCTCTCCAGCCATTCTAAATCCCCAGAGTGGAGGAGAGCAAGAGAGTCAGCACCAAAACCAGCCTGCCTGACAGAAGTTGGTCCCCACCTAACGAGGAAAGTCAATCAACACACTTACATGTGTGGGCACATGTGCTGGGTACGTGTGTGTGCAAACGCACATGTGCATTCCCCTGCTGCCTTTCTAGTTCCCTTATCCACAGTTTGTCCAGAGAAAGGCAGGAGAGGAAGGAGGGCCCTGAGTGGGCATGGGTTTTGGAAGAGTTCTGGTCAGTGCCAGCCCCTGAGACAGTCAGTCAAGGCCAAGGCCACGTGAGGCAGAGAGAGCCTCCTCCTCCTCCATTATCCCCTTCCCACAGGAGAGGTGAAAACCCCTGCCCCCTGCCTGCTTAGCTCTAAGTAGGTGCTTCAGAAGTGACTGGGGACACCCAGGACACCAGAGGATCACCACCCCTAGTTTGTGACCTTGTCCTCAGATGGAAACAAAAGCAGCATGAAATGATTGCAACAGAGGTAGATAAATGGGACGAGGGCACAGGGGAGGTATAGAGGATTGCAGAGGGAGAGCAGGCTGCCACCCTCCCATATGCCACACACGCCTATGTCACACCCCGTGGCTCCCACCCCACAGCACACACATGCACACTCCCTCCCCCACACACAACACATGCCCCTTCCGAGCAGCAGCAGCCAGGACACAGAGACTTCAGAGACAGGTAAGGCCAGTGTCAAAGGCATGAAGCCCAGGACAGAACCCCCGAGGAGCGGGAGGAGGTGGAGGAGAAGAGAGACGGAAAGAAAGGCCCTGCAGAGTCAGCCCGGTGGGGACGAGCCAGGCACTCTCTCTGTGGTCACCAGGTTGGGAGCCGGACCTCAGCAAGCAGAGATGCTGCTCAAATCCTGGCTAGGAGGTGGGGTGGGGGGCACAGGGTCAGAGGAGGTCAAGGAGACAGAGGTGTGTGGGACAGAAAGAAAGCAAGTAGGATCCGGCCAGAGGGGGCTGGAACAGGCAGTCCTGCCTTCAGTAGGTGATGAGGTTGGCCTTGGGGGCCCAGCTAGGTAAGGAACAGGCTGCTGGTGGTCCATCTGGTTACTTTGTGGGATTTTTTAAAGGTGCCTCCTCCCCAAAGCACTATTATTTGAAAAAGGTCACACTGATTTTGTTAGAAGATGTTTTTACTGCCTTCTGCAGGATAATTTTTAGTCACGAATATTCAAATCGGGCTGGGATTGTGGCTCAGTGGCAGCACCACATGAAAATAAATACACAAAATAAAGATACTGTGCCCATCTACAACTAAAAAAAAAAATTCAAACCCCCATTGTCTGTGGCACAGGCCGGCTGCTCTTCTGTAGTACACAACCTCCACAACCATCCAGGGCAGGTCTGGTTGGGAGGTATCAGGCAGGGCTCTGGCCTATTCACCAGGGAGAAGGCAGGAAGACTTCTCCCTGCCCTGCTGCTGGCTGAATTTGAGAAGATGACCTTGCTTAAGCAAGAAGGAAGGAGGGAGAGACAGAGGTAAAGGGGTCTTGGGTATTTAAGGGACTAGCCGGAAACCATAGCTAAGCGCTTCCACTTCTTGGGACATGGACTGTGCTGGGTCTGGTAAAGGAGCTAGGGTGATTGTCCTTCCCGTCTGGGGGATCCACTGCCTCGGTGCACGGGGAGATGTGGGGGCCGCGCAGAGGCAGGGTTCCTCTGGCATCGTCAAGTGTCCTGGCCGGGGTTCAGGGAGCACCCCGTCCTCCTGCGGGGAGGAGGGGCTTCTCTCGCCTCCTTCGCCCCAGGCCTGCTGCCGGAGTGTCCAGAGAGGACGGAGGGAGGGTGGGCGAGGCCGAGGGGGAGCTCACCTTCTGCGCACCTGGGAAGGTGTGGCAGTGACATGAGACACTAGGTCACATGGCCTTCCCATCCAGCCTTAGCGTGCCTACACATCTGCACAGAGAAGGAGAAGAGATTGAGAGGAGAAAGCAGCAGCAGCAGCAGCACAAACCCAAACAGCCATGTCGGACAGAGAGAGCACGAGACAGGAACCAAGAGGCAGAGACAGAGGTGGGAAGGAAAGGGGCAGGAGGTGGATGAGCAGGTGGAGATCAGCGAGGGGGACGGGAAGAGGGTGAGAAAGGGCCTCCTGTCCTGCATTTCACGACAAGCCACTCAGGGGCCACGCAGAGCACCTGGCAGGCCCACAGACGGAAGCCAGAAGGGTTCTGCGGTCAGGGCAACTCCGCTTCTTCTGGGGTCCGGCCTTCAAGGGAGGCCGGGCGGAGGGACATCTGCTATCCAACCTCACTAATCGTGCCGCCCCGCCTAGTGCGGAACCTGTACAACTGAGCTTTCACCTGAGGCCTCCTTGAGCAAATCTGGCCCGGGACATTTGAAGGGGCTCCCGGCCGCCCACCTCCTCTCTCCCCTCCTTCTCCCAAGGGTCACAATCCTGTCTGGGAACACAGAGTGCAAAGTGGAGGTTCTGGGGACAGAACTGCATCCTCAAGGGAAGTCCTGGCACTGTCAAGAGCACAGCTGGACCTGGAGGGTGGCAGCCCACTCCACCCCCACTCCCCACACTCAGGACCATTCAGGAGGCTGACATCACACACGCAGCCTCTCCTGCCTCCACCAGGTGGCTGCTCCCAGAAGGCCCAGAAGCTCTTGATTTTCTCAGTAACAGGAGAAGAAGAGAGAGGGACAGGGGAAGGGAGAGGGCAGAGGTGCAGGGTGGGAGAGGAGGCAAGCCAAAGAGAACACGCCACCTAAGAGCCAGGACTAACTCTACCCACGAGACGAGGCCATCCATCCAGGCACTGGATGGGGCAGGCAGGTGGGAGGGGCAGGAGGGCAGGGCTCAGGGTCCGGCATGAGGTGTGCTGGGCATGGAAGGAGCAGGGGCCCCAGGTACCTTCTGGGCTCCAGAGAAGGCATGGTAGAAGCTGGACACGTAAGTCATGATGGCTTTCTCATCAGGCCGAGCAGTTCCAACGATGTCTGTCAAGAAAAATTGGGAGTTAAACCCAGCAGGTGACAGTTATCCCATTCCTGGGCAAATACCCAAAGGACTTAAAATCAGAATACTCTAGTGATGTAGCCACATCAAATGTTTATAGCAGCTCAGTTCACAAGCTAAGCTATGGAATCAACTTAAGTGCTCTTCAACAGATGAATGGATAAAGAAAATGTGGTATATATATGCACAATGAAATATTACTCAGCCATAAAGAAGAATGAAATCACGGCATTTTCTGGTAAATGGATGGAACTGAAAAATATCATGCTAAGCAAAATAAGGCAATCCCAAAGAACTAAAGGCCAAATGTTCTATCTAATATGTGGATGCTGACTCACAATAAGGGTGGGGTAGGGGGGAATAGAAATTCACCAGATTAGACAAAGGTGGAATGAAGGGAAGAGAGGGGAGATGGGAGTAGGAAAGAGAGTAGAATGAATCGGACATAACTTTCCTGTGTTCATGTATGAATACACCACCAGGGTAACTCCACATCACGCACAACTGCAAGAATGGGAATGTTGGAAGTCGACCGGGCTCCAAAGACTAACTTCCCCATCCCCCGAGAAGAACCGTCCAATGGTGAGCCCTGCTGGCTCACATGATCCTTATCCTCCAATCAGACTAGACCTGCTGACTCACATGATCCTTACCCACCAATCAGAAAGCACCCCATGCCAACTGTCAAACCCTTCAACCATGAAACTGTCATAACTGTCAAACCACCCCTGGCTCTATAAATATGCAGAGCCGATCCTCAATAAACAGGCATTTTCTCTGATGGCAAGCCTTGTTCGTTCTTTCAGAGAAGTTATACTCCATGTGTGTAATATGTCAAAATACATTCTACTGCCATGTATAACTAAAAAGAACAAGCAAATAAATGAATAAATGAATGAGTGAACGAATGAATGAAAAGCCAGTGGATGAGCACATGGCACCCCTTCCAATAAGAAGCAAAAAAGAATCCTGTAGGACCACAAAGTCTTCTCACCAAAATGCCCAGCCAGAACCTAGCCGGCCTCCCGCTGATGGGAATGGAAGAGGCAGGGAACAAGAAAAGCCGTAACCCCAGGAAGCAACAGACAACCTGGGAATACAGAACATTCCATAGGACAGCAGGCCCCCACCTCCAGAAGTTCAATGGGAGGAATGACAGAGTGAGCAGAGAAGAGACACCCCAACTGCAAAGCCAAATGCCACCCCTGACCCTTGTGTGCCTCCCAATTAGAACAAAACAACTCTTGGCTCTTGGTTTCCAGTACAGGGATTGCACCCAAGGCTCTGTGGGTGCTAGGCAAGTGCTCCACCACTGAGCTACATCCTTAACCCTTCAAAGACATCTTTTAAACAACTAGGGAAATTTGATTATGAACTAGATAATAGATATGTCAAGAAATTATTGTCGATTTGCTAAATAAGAATATTATTTTATGGTTACCTTAGAAAATATTAATATTTTCCAGGTATGTATTCTGAGGTAGTGGTGAAGTTATGCAATAGCTGAGATCTGACTCAATATATGTCAATAAAGAAAACAGAAATAAAAAGAGAAAAATAAAGTGACAAAATCTTAATAATCTATATCTGGATGATGGATATACAGAAGTTCATTATACTAATCTCTTTGTTTTTGTAGACATTTGAGATTTTTTCCTAATGACATTTTTTAAAAATGTCTTTAGTTGTTGATGGACCTTTATTTTATTCATTTATTTATATGCAGTGCTGAGAATCGAACCCAGTGCCTCACACATGCTAGGCAAACACTCTACTACTGAGCCACAACTCCAGTCCCCTTAATCAAATTTTTTACTTTTTTCTTTCTTTTCTTTTTTTTTTGGTACTGGGGATTGAACTCAGGGGTACTTGACCACTGAGCCACATCCCCAGACCTATTTAGTATTTTATTTAGTGACAGCATCTCACTGAATTGCTTAGCACCTCACTTTTGCTGAGGCTGGCTTTGAACTCATGATCCTCTTATCTCAGCCTTCTGAGCTGCTGGGATTACAGGTGTGAGCCATTGTGCCCGGCACCATTTTTTTAATTTAAAATGTCACTGGTGGTTGGGGGCAGGGAACAGAGGGAAAGGGGACAACCTTCACATCCCTTTTCCAACCTCTTGACATGAAGCAGTCACTTTCAAGATGGCGTCTGAGCATATGGGCCCAGGGAAGGCCCAGAAGGAAAGTGGCCATTGTGTCCAGGGCAGAAACAAAGACAAGAAGACTTAGATGGATCCCAGCCATGAGCCTCCCTGGCCCCCATGATTCCCCTCACCTGACAACTTCTGTCCCCCCACCACCCATCAGAGCTGCTGGGCATGGTATGAGGCAGAAAGCTGGGTGCAGTGGCCAGGAAGCACCGAGTTTCCAGCCCCAGGACCGTATTCGTGATCAGGATGTTCTTGTGTTAAACCCTGGACCTGTCCCCACCCAGGTGGCCGGACTAGTACCTCTCCCTCTGGGCCTCAGGAAGACATGGAAACCCTTATAAGCAGGCAACTCCTGGGATCCTCAAATGAGGTCCCAGATGGCCCAGGCCTTCTCCCTTCCTGCTGCAGACTGCTGGGGCCCCTCTTAGCCCCTGGGGAGCAGCTGGAAAGGACCGGAGGCCCCAAAGGGGAGAGAACACTGTTACCTTCAGCATCAAGCATCTTGGGGATGTCCAGATACTTCTCTGCCACATCGAAGGCCGTGTTCAGGTTTGTGAGTGGATCATCCTAGAGGGAGAAGAGGAGGAAACAGTGATAAGGGAAGCCATGACAAGTCACAGGCCACCCCTGGGAGGCCACCAAAACTGGGGGGCAGAGGGGCCTTCCCGCAGCCCCTCCCAGGCTCCAACCTCAGGGCACAGCTGTGGGTGGACAAGGCTGGCCTCATCACCAGGGTCACTGGCTGGAGGTTCAAAACAGTCTCTTTCCTCCTTAAGCTTCATTTTCTTTTCCAGGGAAGTGAGAATACCTGCCTGTAGCCTGAGTCAGGATAGGAAAGAATTGCTAAGAAGTACATGCTGGGAGCAGGGTATCAGCTGTCCTGGCTTCTGGTTTCAGCCACCAGCCAGAGGGACTCCTGGGTAAGTGACAAGGACTCAGTTTTTCCATCTGTCACTCAAGAGTTGGGCTAGGAGATCTTAACTGTGGCTAGTTAGGGGGAGAGCAGGGGCCCTTTCATGTTCTTATTTCATGAAATCTTGGCGTTTCTTCAGATAGCCACAGCTTCTAAACTACTCCTACCTCTGCTAACTTTTCCAGGAAACTGAGCAGGATGAGGAGAAACTGGGATCCTTGTGCACTGGAATGTAATGTCATCATGATGGGAATAGAATAAGATGCAGCCACTTTGTGGTGAGACCATATGATCCAGCAATTCCAACTTCTGCGTGTACAACCCCAAACAATTGAAAGCAGGGTACCGGTGAGATATGTGCACACTCACATTCTCAGAAGCATTATTCACAAGAACCCAAAGGTGGAAGCCAAGTGTCCATCAACAGAGGAATGGGTAAGTGGACCACGGTTCATACACACATGGAATATTACTCAGCCTCAAAAGGGCGGGGGGGGGATTCTGATACATGTTCCAACACAATGAACCTTGAGGACATTATGCTGAGGAAAAACACTATAGGATGCTACTTTTTTGAAGTACGTAGAGGGTTGAATTCATGGAGACGGAAACTCACCAGGGGCTGGCGAGAGAGAGGGGGCACAGTATTTCAGTTTTGCAACATAACAAGTTTTGGATGTGTAATGTTTGCACAACAATGTGAGTGTATACAAGGGCACTGAACTGCATACTTAAAAATATTTTTTTAAAAATGTTACGTATTTATTTTACCACAACTTTGTTTTGTTTTATTTTGGGGGGCTCTTTCTTTTTTTTTTTTTTTTTTGGTCCTGGTGATTGAACTCAAGGGCATTCAAGCACTGAGCCATATCCCCAGGTCTATTTTTATTTTTTATTGAGAGACAGGGTCTCACTTAGCTGCTTAAGGCTTCACTAAATTGCTGAGGCTGGCTTTGAACTCGGGATCCTCCTGCCTCAGCCTCCTGAGCTGCTGGGATCACATTGTGTGCCACCACACCTGGCTAGTTGTTTCTTTGTTTGTTTGTTTGTTTGTTTTTTTAAAGAACTTTAATGTAGGGCGAAAAAAACCAAACCTTTCATGAGGAGAGTCCCCACTCCCCTGCTGTTCCCTGAGACTGATCTAAGAGGGCCGGTTCTGCCAGTCTAGGGCTGTTTCCCTGTTTTACTCAAATGAGAATCACAAGCAACAAAGAGATGAAGACGTTCACTTAGGAAGTTTTCAGGAGGAAATTGCTCAAAATAGAGTAAATAGAGTCCTTCTAGGAAAGTATTTGACAGCAGCCAGGATGATAAAAACAGCCAAACGGTGAAGGTCATTTCCACCCGGGCCTGCACGGCAGCTGCCAGCACACAGGTTTAGGTGTGCCCTGGCTGCCCCATGTGGGACCGCCAAGAGGCCTTCCCATAGCCAGGGCCAGAAATAAAGAGCTTCCCAGCTGGAGTCCCTGGACTCTGTCCCCAGTGCCCAAGGGCCAGTGGGTTCTGGCCACCTGTGTGTTCCAGAAGGCCTTCACTGTTCCCTGGGCCTGGCTCTGTGCTGGGACTTGGGCTGGACTTCAGTGATGAGCTAAAGAGAAGGGGAGGCCAAACAGGAAAGAATGTGCAAGGGCATATCAACAGACCCAGAGAGGGACAGAGGGTGGGGAGAACACTACCAGGTACCAGTCGATGTCCCCTGGACTCTCGACTCCCAACGAGCCAAGACGGATGGGACCTCTGAGACAGGGATGGGACTTCAGAGGCACGGACAGCACAGACCCCTCTCTATACGACAGCAGGCAACAGCTGTGTGTTCACTTGACTGCTGACACCCACACCCCCCACAGGGACACAGGCACACACACGCCCATCACCAAAGTGCAGCAGCGCAACAGGAAGCAGGTGTGTATGACGCCTTCAAAAGAAAACATCGATGACACTAGGGTTTGCCACTTTGGCCCTGTTTGATTTGGGCACAGAGTTTCCAGGCAGGGGGGGGGGGGGGTCTCAAATGGATTTTCTTTCCCTTTCAAAGCAGCTGATCTAGTGAGCTGGGATCCACCTTCTCCCCAAAAGGTTAGCTGGGGAAAGGCTGTTGTACAGCCGTGCACAAGGCCACACACAGGGCCAGGCCGATGGATGGCCTTCTGTAGATAGGCCCTTCCTAGGGCTGAGGCCCTGCAGGCAAATGGAAAATAGGAATCTCCTCCTTTCCTCCCTCACAGAAGCCCTCTAGTGGCTTGCTCACCTACACCCCCAGAACAGAGGGCCAGCCACCACCATGAGTTGCCAGGGCAACATCAAGCCCTGCTTGGCCACTGGTTAGCCACAGGCCTTTCCTGGGGCTCAGGCAAGGTGGGGTCTTTATTGAACACTGCGCCTTCTAGGTATCGAGATGAATGTGAGAAACATAAGGCTGTCATTCCTAAGCCCCCTCACCAAGAGATTGCAGCACAGGTGACATTCCAATTCCAATTCCATTCTAGATCACCAACTGGAAGCTTAAGGAGAGCTCTCGAGGTGGCCTTTCCCAAGGTGGCCTTTCCCAAGATGCTCATGACAAGTCTCACCAAGGTCACAACCAGTGCCCTTTAACCACTATACTGGTTCTTGGGCAGCAAGATTCAGGGAGGGTGGTTTGCTGCTCGCCTCTAGATGGGCTCTGTCTGGCTAGCCTATAGGGCCAACATCCCTCAGCCTTGCTCTCAGAGTGGAGTCCCTGTCTTGCCCTCCCTAAGCCTTGTCCCCAGCTGCTGGAGGCCACGGGACCAGGGGCTGGTGGCACGAAGTCAGGTGAGTGTGTACCTTCCGCAGCTTCCCGTAGTCAATCAGCTCAGGCCGGTGTCGGTGGATCAAGGCACAAAAGCCAAGGCCATCCTTCCAGCTGCCAGGAGAGAAAAGGGGGACAAGCTGGTGAGAAGGTGTCTGCAGAGCGTGGCCAAACAGGGGCCATCAAGCACTACCCCAGGGCAGAGCACCAAGAGGAGCCTCCTGTATTCAAGATGAATACGTAATTCTTCAAAGCACAAAACAAAGCAGGCCAGAGAGACCCCTTCATGCCATAATCCCAGGCAACTTGAGGTCAGGACTTGGTGGGGGGGTTGGCAAGTTGAGATAAACCAGTCACACACATCCCTCCCCCAGTGGAGGTCCATGGCCCTAGTCTGCTGACCTGAAGCCCCAGATTGGGAATTCCTGGACATTTTTCTTGGGAATATTCCTAGTAACACATATCAACCAAAGGCCTTGTCCAAGGCCCTGCAGGGAGGGGGAAGGGATTCAAGGGGACAGCAATAGATTCTTTCCCAGAAAAGCTACTTCCTCCCCAAGGGCCTCAGCTGTTCTAGAGCTGAGACTGAGTAACCAAGGGGGCCTATAAGGTCTTTCTTTTCTTTTTATTTTTTTTTAAATATTTTTTGTAATTGTAGATGGACAGCATGCCTGTATTTTATTTATTCATTTTTATGTGATGCTGTGGAGTGAACCCAGGGCCTCACATGTGCTAGGCAAGCTCTCTGCCACTGCGCGACAGCCCCTACGAGGTCTTGATGGAAGCAGCCCAGTTTCTACAGGAGCCCCTGCCCCTGGCACCCACCTGATGTGGAAGTTTTGGATGTTGACATTTTTGTAAGGGGCCGTCTTCCTCTGACACCACAGGAGCAGCCCTTCCTTGGCTGAGGTCTCTGTGGGGAAGGGGATGAGCAGAGGAATCAATGGGCTGATCTAGGAGAGGGAGGGGCGCTGGCTTCCAGGAGGCCCCACTGCAACCTCTAGATTCTAACCCTGCTGCTACCAAGGAAGAAAGACGCCCCGGCCAACATTTCTCTCTCCTTGACAAATCTGAGAAGTTATTTGAGAAATAGAAGAGCGATGTAGGAAGCAAGCTAGCCACGAGACATTCAGAGGCATTTCCCCCACTCCCATTATTCAAAGTGGTAGGGATACAAGAAAAGTCAGCAGCCTGTCAGGCAATCACTTTGGAAGCCACTTGGATTAGTCCGGGAAATCTAAAGGACCAGGAACCTCCAGACACAATCACGTAGCCTGAAGGGCCAGAAGAAAGCCTGAGGATTCTTACTCAGGTTTCTTTTTTCCATCTAAAAAAAACAAGGTTTCTTTGTATTTACTGCATGGATTGGCGGTGTTGCCCTCTGCTGTTGCCCTCTGCTGTTGTGTGCGTGAAAAAGTCACCTAGCTGTAAGTTAAGGCAGGCATCTGAGGAGATGCAGGGACCTCCCAACACCTGAGAGGCTGCACACTGCCCCCTTGTGTTCACACCTGTGAATTGCAGGTTATGGTATCAGTGAAATGGGTCATAGCAACCTCATTTACTTCAGATTCACAACATGGACTTCAAAATGATGGTAAAGCATACCTAGAAAAATTATAATTCAGGCAAAAACAAGAACAAAATTTTGGCAAGGTGAATGTTTTTTAGTTCAAGCTTTTTTGTTGACTATATAATAAGATTAAAATAATGATTCAATGGGAAATAATAAAAAGTCCACTCAAAAGAATAAAAAGCATGAAGAAGGCTATCGGTAAAATGGATTTACAGCCCCTACCATTAACAAGTGATTCAATTCACCGACTCTAGCCCTTAACATTGTATACACAGAACTTAGACCCTCATACTGCTAGTGTGGAACCAAGATTCGCATAAAAATGCAAATGAATCCACATCATTTTCATTAAGAAGTTCCTTTGAATAAAAATGTTTTTTTAAGATTTCTATGCCATTAAAATGAAGTAAAAATATTTTTAGAAATATTATCTCCATATCACTTTTAAAAATTTGTTTGGGTGCATGTGTTTTATCATGTGCATGGCAATGCATAAATGTTGCAAAATAAACACATGCGTATCAGACATAAAGTTCAAAAAGTGCTGGAATGTGGAGTCAAAAGTTTAGATAGAGATCACTGTCCCAGACCAGGACAGGCCCTGAATTTCTGAAAAGTGGCCACCAGAGGGTGCTGTGGGAGCAAAGTGGAGAACCAAGTCTTCATCTTTTCCCACCCAAGGGCCAGGCAGGGCTTCCAATACACTATCCCATAGCAGACTTGGGATCTTCACAGTGGGGTGTTTCCATGGGGCCAACAGGCCTATAGCTTGCTTATTCCTTTGATTTACTTGCTTCCTGCTATAAACTTTCCTCTTAGACAGCTTTTGCTGTATCCCATAAGTTTTGGCCCAACATGCCTATAGGAATCAGCACCTCAAATAGTTCATACTTTTCAACATAGACTAGGAGAGAGAACAGATATGGGTAAGCAGAAATGGGTAAGAAGCCCAGGACGCAGCCTGTAATCCAGTGTCACTGCAGTAGTGGTGTTGGCGGGCAGGGGTGGGGTGAGGGAGTTCTCCTGGCTGATCCCAGGGAGGAAGACACACACAGGCAGGGGAGAGGCACAAGTTTGGCAACGAGGCAGAAACCCACCTTCCACAGAGATGTCCTGGATGGCAAAGCGGAGGATGATGGTCCAGATCATGCCCAGGGTCATTTTCACATTCCCATCCACGATTTCTAGAGAAAGAACAACAGGACATGTTAGGATAGGTCGTAGCAAGACAGAATTAACATTCCCTGAGCTCCTGGATCACTCCATGTGACACTAAGAATCAAAGACCACAGAGCCCTACTTCTCGAGGAAAAAGAAGAAGACACTTTTATTTATTGATTCAGTGCTGAGGATGGAACCCAGAGTCTCTCACATGCTAAACACATGCTGTACTTCTGAGCTACACCCCAGTCCCTAATAGGAGATTTGGTTTGGGTGCATTATAATTATACATAATAGTGGGATTCACTGCAACATATTTGTACATGTACATAACGTAATTTGGTCAATTTCACTCCCCTTCTCCCACCCCTTAGTTCCCCTGCCTCTACTCTTCTAGTCTGAATAGGAGGTTTTGTTTTGTTTTTCTTTAAAGTTAGCACAATTGACCACAAAAGGTGCCAGGAGAGAAGTCTATTTGAGGCACAAGGAAGATGTAGGTGATTCTACTTGGAGACAGTGGATGCGGCATCAGAAAAGGCCACAGGGAAGTGGAGGTGCCCTTAGCCCTTGCACTGTGCCTCTGGCCTGTTAAAGAGGGTTTGAGTTTCTATGCTGTCACAGATGTCCCAGCAGCCCTGTGAGCTGGGGGTCTCTGGGCAATCACAGCTCTTAAAATACCATCCGCACACAGAAAGCCACTAAGAGCAACAGAAAGTCACAGATTTGACATGGTTTTGCTAACCACCATTTGAATGATCTAATGACTCAAAAATCAAATTTATAATGCCATTAGTTAGGTTATTAAATTTTTATTTATAAATCACACAACAGCTTTAAGATCTCAACTCAGAGAGATAAGCCGCTGTATTTACTCTAAGTAACATTTTTTTAGATTCTTAAATGCCTTAAATTCTATTAATGTTCTTTCTTTCTCTCTTTCTCCCCCTCATCATGCCCAAAGGCAGGGCATTCAGGCATAAAGAAGCCCTGTCTTCAGGAGCCTAAACGTGGTGCTCATTATGGTCTTGGTAGCTGAACAGGTGCAATAACCTGGCCCAAGGCGAGGTACACTTGGTTAAATTTTAGGAAAGACAACAGAGCCACAAAAGGGGCCATTTTCAGGGAGTCCAGATTCCCTCTGCCCAAGTCCATTAGGGTTTGTATTCCATAAACTCCTTACTTACAGTGTGGATTCCCACCAAGAAAGCTCCACTAAGAACTCAGCCCTTCCTCAAAGGCAAGGTCAACGCCACACACTGTTCCATGACTACCAAGACACAGAGCTCGGAGCAGTGGCTGGCCACAGTGGATTCCAAGGGGCAGGCAACCCTGAGGGTCTGCCTCAGGGTGCTGGGCCCACCTGAGACATGGGATGGGATGTGACTCTTCCTGCTATCAGAGTCCCAGATGCCAGGTTCAAAGCCTTGGGTTAGAGAGAGAGCAGCAAAAGTATGCCACCATTCATGAATAAGTAGCACAGAGAGTGAGTGTTTGACAGGACACACTAAGGGGAGCCCAAGTCACCCAGCTTTGATGTTTTAAAACATGGACTTTCTGCTGGGCATGGTGTGCACGCCTATAATTCTAATTACTTGGGGGGCTGAGGCAGGAGGATTGCAAGCTAGACCCCAGCCGGGCAACTTAGCAAGGTCCTGTCTCAAATTTAGAAATAAAAAGGATTGGGCAGTTCAGTGGTAGAGCACCCCTGGGTTCAAGTCCTAGAGAAAAAAAATCACACTTTCCAATGGTTTAACATCTCTAACATTTAAAGAGTTTAAACTGATTAAAAAAAAAAAAAAAAGCCTCAACTCTCAATAGATAAAACAGGTAAAAGACATTACACAGACACATCACAAAACATAAACTACAAATAACCAATTCATAAGATCTTTCGAATCTCACTTGGACTCAAACAAATAAAACACATATTCCCGGCTATTAAATTAACAAAGTTAAAAAACAAACTTCAAAAACAGGCACAGGCCTTGGTACAAACAAGGTTATCACATTACAGCTACATGGGTAAATTGGCTTTAAAAAAAAAAAAAGACTTGCTGGGAAATAATTTGGCCACAAGAAGCAAGCATCTTAGAATTGTTCATCTTTTGGGCAGTGAAATTCTATCTCCAGGAATCTATCCCTGGCCCATGACCTGAAAGGCAGAGTGAGGCTTCTGTCTAAATAGCTTGTTGTTTGGTTACTTATCACAGCCCCAAAGGGGAAACCGTGTGAATGCGCAGAGTACAATAGTAAATCCCCAGAGCCCATCGCTCTGCTCTGAGGCACCCCTCACTGGGCAGAGGCGCCCCTCCCTTCGGGTCTGGCGGCTCGGCCTCTTACCCTCCCCTCCCCCTCCCAGGATGTCCAGTGGTTTGTCCTCAGGTCAGCTCACTGACACCTTCCTGGACCACCCACTTTACTCCCTGCTTCATTTTTCTCCACCTGACAGTCACATATATGAATGTTCTCTCCCCTTCTAGAAAGCGAGTTCCACAGGGTCAGGATTCTTTCCTGGTTTTGTGTCCATTACTACCTGGAGCCCAGTACAGTGCCAGGCACTGAGAAAGCCCTCCATCTGTTGATGATCAGATGGCTGGATGGACACCAAGCGGGCACTAACCACAGTGGGCGGGTGGGCCCAGGTGATACATTCTTGTCATCTGCCCCCTGAGAACAAAACACTTAGTCTCTTCCTGGGCAGGGCCCAGGTGTGGGAAGGAACACAGATGTGCTCAAACATATGATTAAAGCAGCCATTTAAACATCACATTCATGAGTTTTTAATGACTTGGAAAAAATCTTTATAATAAAACTTTCAGACACCATTTCATCAAATATGAGGGGCTTTTGTTTGTTTGTTAAGCTTAGAAAAAGTGGTAACCCTGCAGCTGGGCCTTTCCAGGGGTGGGGGCTGCAGTGCTGGCTCCCCGCCCCTACTCTCCCCCCCTACTCTCCGCCCCTTTGTCCCCCTGCTAGAAGACCAAATACCTTGGCCTCCCTCTGGCCTTGAGCTCAGGGCCTGCAGCTTTGTCTTCCCCACAGTACTCCCAGCACCCAGGGGGCCAGTGGCTTCTTTGGGGGTCCTAATTACTCCTCTCCTTCTTCTTCAGAGGCCCCCCACGGATCTTGGTTTACTGAATTCTCATTCATACCAAAGAAGTTGTTTCACCAGAAAACAGAGGTTCAAGGGATAAACAGAGTGAGGTAAGTTCAATTAAAGAGCCCTCTCCAGCCCAGTTCCACCTGGCTCCTGTCCCATGTCCCAGCAGAGCAGAACTCTCCCCAAAGGCTCCCCTTCCCACTCCTCAGAGGGAGATCCTTTTCCCAGGCCTCTGTGCATGGGCAGCAGAGGTGACCCATCTCAGAGGCACTTTATGTCAGGAGGCTACACCCAGAGAGTTCCGAAGCCACACCTGGGCACTGTAGGAAAACCACGTGAGAGATTCTCCGAGCCCTGTGGGAGAAGCAGCGGCCAGCCCCGTAAGTGTGGCTCCTGGTCTAGGGTGCGTTCCCAAGCTGCTCATAGGCTCCATTTCTCTGTTTTCCCACAAAAGGGAGGCAATCGCCTATCCACCTTCAGAAAGCAGAGTGAATCATGCTGCAGAAATCCCATGTTACAGAGACTAGAACCCCAGGGCCACCACTTTTCAGACCAAGACTTTTGTTATTTGCACCCACAGCCCCCTCCATTCTGACAGATGCTAAATCATCAAGACCATCCTCAGACTCTTCAGCACCCAAACCATCAAGTTTTCTCTGCCCAAAGATCTTAAAATATCCTTCTCTGGTTCCTTTCCCTGGTTAAATTCCAACCATTTGCCCAGGCCACGACTCAAACTCATGAAGTCCAAACATTCTAGAATCAAGAATGGTGGAAGAAGCCAGGCGCGGTGGGGCACAGGCCTGTAATCCCAGCGGCTCAGGAGACTGAGGCAGGAGGATTGAAAGTTCAAAGCCAGCCTCAGCAAAAGCTAAGCACTAAGCAACTCAGTGAGACCCTGTCTCTAAATAAAATACAAACTAGGGATGGGATGTGGCTCTGTGGTTGAGTGCCCCTGAATTCAATCACTGGTCTCCCCTCTCAAAAAAAAAAAAAAAAAAGAAAAGAAAAGAAGAAAAAGAATGGTAGAAGAATTCTTAGGCATCTATTCTAACTTCTGTCTGACTTATGGAAGTGTTCTGCCTCTGGCCTCCATTTGGACACCTTCAGGGACAGGGACCAAATGAGGAGCACTCATTCCATTCCCCAAGGCTAAGCACATTGTCCAGAGTCTACCTGTCCATAGGGTCTCCCTTCAGGGCCTGGTTCTGCCCTGTAGAGTGGACCAGAGAGTCTAGCTCTTACACCAAATGACTGGGCCTGCTCCTAGCTCCGGATGCTCCTCCATTAGGAGGAGTGACAGCATCCCCCGCGCCAGCCCCAGGAGAGCTCATTCCCGGCCACCCCATCCACTGCCTTTCACTTCATACTCTACAGCAGCAAACCTCATTTCATTAAAAAACAAACCCACTGGGCGGCTAAGCTAGCTTCCTGCCTTGGCAGAGCAGCCCTTCCCACAGGATCCTCGGGCTCAGCTTGAAATGAGTAGATGATTCAAACCAGGAAGCCTCAGCTGGACACACTGGCTCCCGAGGGCAGTGAGGAGATAAGAGCATCTCACGTTAGGCCTGTGTCAAGGGAATTGGAACACCAGGGCCGGCCAGGGGAGGGACTTTACAGGACAGGTGGCAAGATCAGAGTCCACACCAGGGCACGTCTCAGCTCCTGGTCACTCTGCTGGGACCTGACCTGCCCCTTCATTACTGAGGTAGACCAGAAGTTCAGGTTGGGTCCTGGAGCCCACCCACCTGGTTGAGCACTTTGGGTCTGAGCCTGGGCCCCGTTGACTATACTCTTCCTCTCTGGCAATTTTTCTGAGCCTCAGTTTCCTCAACTGTAAAATATGGCTGGTCCTTCCCATCCTACAAACTGGCATGATGGGAGAAGATGGCCCATGGAAGGTGTCTCTTCCACTGCCCCCCTTCCGTCCTCTCCTCTCAGAGTCTTTTATTTTAAAAAAAAGAAGAAGAAAAAATATTTTTTTCTTATTCTAGTGAATTGCCAATTTTTCCTCTCTAAAAATCAGTACTTCTGGCTTCTTTTGAAAAGCTAGAGGAGCCTGCCGCGCTAGACCTAGATTCCCAACCCCGCGATGACTGGTTAGATCTATGTGGCGTCTGCCCTGCTCTCTCAAGTTTACCACAGTCCCCATCTACCCCTTCCACTCGCCCCGGCTCACCTCACAGTCCCCCGCCTCCCTTCTTTGGGGGGCAGCACTGGCACCAGGCCATTGAGTGCGCCTGCATGGCTTTCTGTGCACGGTTAGCTAAACCAGTTTCTGCCAAGTTTTTTATTCCTCCAACAAATTCCTTTGTTCTTATTAAATGGCCAAGAATATTTTCCTGATCACAAAAGAGAGCACTCTGCTATGTGCAGGGTGCTTTGAATATTTCCTGAGCCCTCCACCATCTGCGGGGATGCTCAGGGTCCCTAGCCGAGTTCTGACTAGGGCAGAGGTTGGCAAACATTTTCTGCAAAGAACTTGATAGGAAATAGTTTTGCTTTGCTGGCCATATGGTCTTGGTAGCAAACTACCCATTGTGGCCCGAGAGCAGCCACAGATGACACGCATACAGTGGGTGTGGCTCTGTTCCAATATTTACAAAAACCCGTGTCAGCCAGACTCAGTCCCATGCACTAGAGTTTGCTGATCCATCTTGAAGTTTCTCAATTTGGGATTTCAGCATAAAAGCCCTCCATTCCAGAAGAAAGAGGACTCTGAGCATTATCCAGAAGAGATCTGCTCCTGTGGGCTTACCAGGAGCAAGACCCCGACTCTGTCCAAGGACTGGTCCCTCTGGGGCCCTTCTCTGGTGTCAGGCAGACCTGGATTTGCACTCTGGCTTGGCAATTTACATAATGCAATGTAACCTCTGTATGCACACTTTCTCACTGTCAAAAGAGAATAATAACTAGAGCTACCTCAGAGGGTCACCGTGAGGACTAAGTGGGATTCGCTGGTTAAAGACCTCAGCCAGGCACTTTCCACCCCATGAGTGCTTGATTCTCAGCTACAGCTGTATCATGAATGGATGAATGAATGAGGCGGTGCTGTATACATCTTTAGATCTCTGTATCATACAGCAGGCGCCCAATAAATACTTGCTGAGTCCAAGGGCACATTAATGAAGGGCCCTGGTTAGCATATTCTAGCTGCCTCAACCTACCCCAATCCTGCAGAGCCACTGCAAGGCACCCCAGGACGCATGCTACCTCCTTTTAATTGTTAATAACATGCTCAGAGTCGTTTAAAAAGCTTGGGGGAATTCAGATTTTTTAAAGTGATGGCAAAAGAGCCAAGAAGCTACACTGCAAGAAAATGCTATTAAAAATGTGTTTTCGGGGGGCTGAGGCTGTAGCTCAGTGGTTAAAGTGCTTACCTCATATGTGTGAGGCACTAGGTTCAATCTCAGCACCACATAAAAATAAATGAAGATACTGTGTGTTCATCTACAACTAAATAAACATTTTTAAAAAATGTGTTTTGGGGATCAGGCCATCTCCCCAAGGGCTATGGAGCCTCGTGGCTCCCACCAGCCTCCCCCAGCCACATACAGCAGGCAGCAAAGTGTGGTGAGGCCAAGTATAGGGAGGCAGCTTTCCACCTTGCCAGACTCCACAGTGCAAGGACTTGGCAGAGGGGCCACAGGAACAGTTGCAAAGAAAAGGGGGTGTAAATCCTTGGTGTGGGGCAGGGCTGAGCCTGAGAGAAAAGTTCTGCCCTTAACATGAAGAATTCCAGGCTGGCCAGATGGAGGTGCTAGAGGACCTGCTTCCAAAGGCCAAGTGATACTTGGGAGTCAGGGAGGAAAAGACCAATGAAACTGGGGTGCACAGGACATCAGGCTCCCCCGAAGAGCTGACGGCAGGCCTTACTCACCCTCGGCACCAATGGACACCAGTTTGACCCCTTTGCTTGCTATGAAATCGAGGGCCTTGTTGACATTGGAGATCTTGTGGACCCGCATCTTGCCTCTCTCCGGCTTGGCCAAGCGTTCGCCTGATTGAATCAAGAGGAAAGAAAAGGGAGGTGAGATGAAATTATCCAGGACCCGGGGCTACCCTTGTAACCCCCTCACCTGAGGTGCGTGTGTTTGAGGTGGCGTCCCTGTGCAGGCATGCCTCTGAGCAGCTGGGGAATGCCACCTGGCAGGCAGGGAGAGGGAGAGGCCACCTGCCTCTGCTCTCCTCCGCTACTCAGATGGAAACCACATGCATTCACTCAACATCTATTTATTAAGCCTCCAATATAATCAAGCAGCTGGATGGAGTGCTGGGGATATGGGGGAGGGGGCAAGCCAAACAGTTTCTGGCCTTTACAAAATTATAGTCCAGAAGGACTTCCAGGCCTTAAAGAAAGAGACACACAGAGACACACTATAGACAAATACCAAGAAGGGTCGGTGCTCTTCCCAAGAGGAGGAACTGAGGAATGGTCAGGGGAGGCCTGAGTCTCTGTGGCCAGGCCAACGCTGCAGGGAATGGTGATAAAGGGAGAAGGAACAGCAGGAACAGAGGCCCTGAACTCTGAGGCTATGGCTAGGTCACTCTAGAGCATTTAGAAGAAGTCCCTGGTGGTGAAATGGAGCTATCTACAGCATAGCATCCCCTCCCCATTTGAGAACACTGCTTCCCTGTGAGCACCCAGGGCTCAGCTGCCAATCAAACCTCCACCCTACTTCCCCTCCTCTGCCCCAGCTTCCTCCAGCCTCCACTCAGAGGAGTTTCTTCCGCTCAGGCTTCCAGGTCAGAGGGTGCAGCAGAGTGAGTAGAAAACCCATTCTGCGGATATCCCGTTAAGAACACTTCAATCCCAGGACAGAGAGCAACCAGGAACCTCCCGAAAGGATCTGGAAAATGTGTAAGCACATGGCCATACCTAGGGAAAGGGGACACGGCTTTCAGAATCCCTGAGGGGCCAAAGACCCCAAGGGGCTTAGATCACTATCCTAGAGCCTGGCCCCCAGTGCAGCATGGCAGCCCTGGCTGAGGGCACAGGGACTACAGCTGGGACACTGGGCCAGGCCCACCCTGTCAGTGGCCACCTGCCAGCTTCTAGAGGAGACAGACTTCCTGCGGAGATGTGACTGGGCTGTCCGCTCCTAGGAAAGCAGAGCTGTGGTCTTATTAAATCAAGACCTCTCACTTGGGACCCTCCTTAGGCCCTGGCCACTGCCCAGCAGGGTGTCTTGCCACTGTCTGCCCTTGGGAGGCTCCCTCCCTGGACAGCTGCTCCTGCTAATGCCCAGCCCTAGGTCCTGCCATGCCTGAGCTCCCAGCCACTCCCCAGCTGTGCACACTCGCTGCACCCAGACCTCCATGAGGACAGAGGACGAGGCCAGGGTTAAACACTGGAGGGTGGGAAGAGCTTCCTAGGCTCACATCAGCAGTTCTCAAACTTCAGTCAGCACAAAATCCCCCAGAGAATTTGCTATGTAGATCTCCAGTCCCCCCAGCCCCACCACCTCCAAGTGGCTGGTTTAGGAGGCCTGGGCTGGGATCTGGGCATGTGGATTTCAACAAGCAGCCCTGATGACTCTGGCGTGCACAGTCCAGGGACCGCACTTTGAGAGGCTCTGTAGGCTACACCCCCCGGCCTTCTCCTCTTCCCAGCAGTCAGCCCACCTCCAAAGACACAGGAGGAGAGCACCATGTCACTGGTCAGGCCTCCCCCAGCCCTAAGAGACAGGTCCACAAGCTTTGCAGAAGGGCCTGGCTCCCTGTGGGCACAGGCTGACCTGTTTGGTAGGACAATCGAGGTCATGCACACGAGCCCGTCTCTGGGCATCCATCCAGTCACCCTAATATTTCCAGATGTCACCTGCCTGCCACAGTTCTAAGCACCTGGGACACAGAAATGAAATAGTGCTTACCCCCAAGGAGACAGCGTGGAGTGGGAAAGAAAACAAGTGAGCCCCAACAGAGGAAATGGTGGGATGTTACTGGCACTGGACAGGGGTGGGGGAGTCTGCCTCTGCGGGCAGCATGTCTGGGAAGCCCCCCTGGTGGACATCCCCAAGCCAAGCCAAGCGGTGAGGAATGAAGATGAGTAATGGCTGGTTGATGAGTTGGTTTTCAGCTGGGGAATGTTGGAGAGATAGGAAAGGACATTCTAAAAAGCAGAAAAAAATGGTATAGTGTTTCCTTAAAAATTAAACAGAATCACCACATGATCCAGCAATTCTACTTCTCGGCGTACAACCAAGAGTTGAATGTAGGGGCTCAAAAAAAAAAATGTATTTCCGTACTCATGTTCACAGCATCATTATTCACAATAGCCAGAAGGTGGAAACGACCCAGGGATCTATGGGCAGATGGCTGGATAAGCAAAATGCATTAATATACCTAATGGAATATTATTCAGCCATCAATAGGACAGAAATTCTGACTCGTCCTACATGAATAAACCTTAAAGATATTATGCTCAGTGAAACAAGCCAGTCACAAAAGGACAAATACTGTGTGATTTCACTTGTACAAGATACCTAGAGTAGTGAAGTTCATAGGGACAGAAAGTAGAAAGGCATTGCCACAGGCTAGGGGGAGGGGAGCTTGGGGAGCTTGGGGACAGAGTTTCAGTTCAGGTAATGAAAAAGCTGGAGATGGACAGTGGTGCCGTGCCGGGCAGTGTGAGTACACATCAGGTCACCAAACAGTACACTTAAAAATAGCGAAGTGGATGCCGGGCTCAGTGGTGCACCCCTGTAATCCCAGCAGCTCGGGAGGCTGAGACAGGAGGATCGTGAGATCAAAGCCAGCCTCAGCAACAGCGAGACGCTAAGCAACTCCCTGAGACCCTGTCTCTAAAGTACAAAATAAGGCTGGGGATGTGGCTCAGTGGCCAAGTGCCCCTGGGTTGAATCCTGGGTACCCCAAAAAACAAATCGGCCAAGTGGTAAATCTTATGTATAATTTAATACATACACGCAAAACCAAAAGCACCACATAAAGGTTTTTACCTGAAAAGAAAATATACAAAAGAACTTAAAATAAAAGGAAGAAAGAAAGAAAGGGTCATCAGAGCCTGTGCAAAGGCTCAGCAGCAGAGGGTGCATGTCGTCTGGGAGACAGTCGTCTCCCAGCGCAGCAGCGGCCTGAGGCCTGCTACCTTTTTGGGAATGGTTGGTTGAAAAGAAAATAGGTGCCAGCTCACCAGGAGCCCTGCGAGCTGCCCCAAGGAATGTGGACTTGGGCTCAAAGCTCTGGGGAGGCACCAGGGCTTTGAACAGGGAACAGCATGACCGTATTTGGCCTGTCAGAGATCCCTGAGCTGCGGCTGCGGCTTAAGGGATGGAGAGTGGGGAGGTGGGCAGGGTCTGAGCCCGTCAGTGACCATCTGGGTGGGAGCGGAGGCAGGCCCCATGGACACCAGAGTCAGGTTAAAAGTGGAATTCTGAAGAAGGAAACAGATGACCAGAACGTGAATGTAAATTGGAAGGAAAAGCAGAAACAGAGCTGTCTATGATTCCCAGATCAGGCTAAGGAGGACAAGAAGGAGACCTCAGGAGGGAAGGAGGTTTGCTAGCACCAAGAGTGTTCAGGACAGTTTGGGCATGTCAAGGACCCCCAAAGGCTCAAGTGTTGGGTCTTGTTCCCCAGCGTGGTCACATTAAGAAGTGGTGGGACCAGCCGGGTGCAGTGGTGCCTGCCTATAATCCCAGCAGGTCAGGAGGCTGAGGGAGGAGGATCATGAGTTCAAAGCCAGCCTCAGCAACAGAGGTGCTAAGCAACTCAGTGAGATCTAACCACAGAACGTAGTGAGATCTAACCACAGAACGTAGTGAGATCTAACCACAGAACGTAAGTGACACAGCCTCAGAACATAGTGATGTAGCCATAGAAGCCCTCATCAGAGGCTGAATTGATGAGGTCACCTGACCTTGGATTTTCAAGCTTCAAAACTATGGGCTAAACAAATATCTTTTCTTTATAAAGTACCCGGGCTCAGGCATTTTGTTATAGCAATGGAAAATGAACCAATATACTCAAATAGGTTGAATATTTAAGACAGGGCTCAAAGAGAACGGAGAATTCATGGGTAAGACTAGATCTAGGACTCATTAGCATGAAGGATGGGATGGCTGAAGAAAGCAGTTAAGTTTGCTCAGTGTATAAACCAAGGCCAGATGCTCAGGGACCACTGACTTCAAAGATGGTGGAGGACAAGCTTTTGCAGAAAAGCTCAGATGTACCCTCAAGTGGAGCAGCGCTTTCAGACGTCTGGACAATGTGGGAATTGCATAATCGCCTGTGTTATCTGGGGTAGTTAGGTAGTACAGGAGCCAAGGTTTGGGGATAATCTCCGATGGTTATATTCTTGGCCATTGAATTCTGGCAATTTGGAGAAGGAATCTCAGAGACCAGCCTTCAAAACCCTTACTTTTAAAGCACACCCAGGTTCAGAGCCCTGCATCAAAAACAAACCAAAACCTACTTTTGTAACTGAGGATACTGAAACAGAAGGGTGTTCAAGATACCCAGATGGTCAGCAGCAAAACCCAAACAAGACCTAGTTTCCTCATCGGATTTCATACACCTCATCCCCATCGTGGTTCAAGAGACCTGAAGCCTGCTATGGCCACGGACAAAGCAGAAGCAGGGGGCAGGACAGAACCCAGGTGACGCCCCTCATCCTGGGCTGGGGCCACCTCACCTGAGATAACCTCTAGCAGCAGCATGAGCTTCAGGCCGTCTCGGAAGTCCTCCTCGATGTTCTCGATCTGCGTGCCCGCCTTCCGCAGGTGGGAGTTGCACCATGCTGTGAATGTCTGGGCAAGAGAGAAAGAGCAAGGGGTCAGCCTCCTCCACAAGCGGCATGGTCCCTGAGGTGACTGTGGGCAGGGCTTTGACGGCTCCCCAGGACCGGCTGCCTCGGGCTCTCCCTCCAGCTGTTCTGTATAAGGGGAGTCTGGTGTGGCCGCCCTCAGTGGACAAGCCACCTCACAGAGTCAGGAGGGTGGACGGCTGACAGGAGAGGCCACAGACCCTCTCCGCACGGTTGTCTCAGACAGGTCTCCCATCAGCCAAGGAGTGAGCTCCTCGAGGACAGCAGCTTGGAGCCCAGCGCCCTGTGGGGCACCCGTGGGGCAGATAAAGCGGCATCCTCCTACAATGCTCCATCACCCACCTCTCTTCCAGACCCACCGTCCCCACCCACATTGAGAAGCACCACAGTTCCATTATCTGCAATTTCCCTCTTGGGTAAATTCGTTTCAATCTTCACATTTTGAAGGCAGAGTAACTCAGAGGTCAGACCACACCCGGTTGCCGCCTTCTGTCAGTCAATCGGGTTATTAAGTCCTTTCCCACTGGGGAGCGAAGGGCAAGGATTCCTACATTTTTCTGGGAACAGAGCTCAGCAGCATGGTGACAGAGTTTGGGTGGAGTTACCTTGAGCTACAAAAGTGCAAAGGATTCCAGAAATGGAAACTAAGGAGGTCAAGTACAAAACCCATCACTTTGTAGCTAGTTCTCTATTGAGCAGATCACAGAGAGGACGCCCACCAAGCTGTCCTGGGCTGACAGCACCCCTCGGTGGCTGGCACAAGGAGCAGGGTGACTCAAAAAGGAGCAACGGATATGTGCACTTGATGTCACACGTCCATATAAAACTTGGGCCAGTCTCTCTCTGCAGCTGGCACCGTCTGTGGAAACAAGAGAAGAACTCCAGTGCTCTTTTTGTTTTTTCAACCCTAGATGTCCCCTGCACCCAACATCATGGTCTCAAGAGCTGATGTCCGCTCTTCCCTTGGCAGCTCTCAGCCCACCTGGCCTGCAGCGTCCCAAGGGCAAGCAGTATATTATTTATAGTAAAAGTATCAGCCATGCTAGAACCACCCCTGCTCTAGGGAAGGTCAGATACATGTCCTTCTGCCCTTGAGGAACTACAAAGTGAAATGGCAGCAGGCGGAGCACCAGGCGCAGCAGCACACTATTACTTAGAGGGGAAAGAACCGGCTGCCTAGCTTTACCAACAGAGCCTCTGTGCAGGGAGAGGAGGGACAGAGACGGGAGAGGTGGGGAGGGACTACATTATGACGTCACCCAGCTCTGGGTCTCATTTTTAAATCCTGTCTCATTAGCAACTTACCGAAACGGTATACCTTCCTCTCTCAACAAACACACCTGCACTCGTAGACCCCAGCACTCCCATGACAGAACGGGGCGCATATACCCCCACACTTTGGTTAGACTGGCAGTGATGGGGAGGGAGGCAGGGCACAGAGTGACTCCTCAGTGTGGAATGTGCTCTGTGTCTTGCTTGGCTAATTCACATTCATCTTTCCAAAACAGGGTGAAGACATCACTTTCTCCAGGAGGCCCACTTGGATTGGGGGCAGAGCTGGCAGCACCAAGCACTGCCAGATGGGGTCAGCCCCATGCCCCAGACTGGAAACTCCTGCGAGTCAGGACTCAATGTTCACCTCCATAGCCGGGAGTCCCCAGGCACAGAGTCAGGGTTAGAGCAGTGAACGGCACAGCAAAAGCCCCTGCTCTCGTGCAATGGGTTAGCCTGGACATGGAGGACAGCTCAGAGGACAGGGGCTGCCTCGGGGTAGCAAGGACAGGGTACCCTTCCTCTAGTTTGGGCTTGACAAATTGGCAAGGCCTTAGCCTTTTTTTTTTGTATTGGGAATTGAACTCAGGGGCACTCAATCACTGAGCACCTCCCCAGCCCTTTTTGTATTTTATTTAGAAACAGGGTCTCCCTGAGTTGCTGAGGCTGGCTTTGAACTCGCGATCCTCCTGTCTCAGCCTCCTGAGCTGCTAGGATTACAGGTGTGAGCCACCGCGCCTGGCAGACCTTTTTTGATGATATAAAACAGGAAAGATGGGGCTGGGGTTATGGCTTATGGTAAAGTGCTCGCCTAGCACGGGCGAGGCCCTGGGTTCAGCACCACATAAAAAATTAATTAATTAATTAAAGATATTGTATCCAACTACAGCTAAAAAAAAAAAAAAGAAAAAGAAAAGAATTTAAAAAAAAAACAGGAAAGGATTTTTAAATCTTTAGAATAAATATGATTTATTTTGGTTTTGCCAATCTTCTCCCTGTCATATGTCACTGTTTCACAGGACTGTCACCTTATAGGATCACATTAGGTGGGATCTTATGGGGGGGTGGGGGCTCTTTTCACTGGTCTTATATTTCCCAGAACCTTGCTTTCATCAGCCTCAGCTAAAGGCCAGCTGCCACCTTGAAGGAGACTGTCATCCCCAGCAGCTTTGTTGAAGGGAAGGGCTGGTTTGAGGTCCAGGGCAGCTGGCTGGGGTCCTGGTGGGAGCTGCCCGGTGCGCCCAGCTGGGGGCTGTGTTTTCTAACAGGTCTTGAGGAGGGTGATGGGAGGGCGGGGAGGGAGGGGGAGGCTCTGCTGTCTTTTGTAAGAAGTCACGGCTGGTGAAAGAGGAAAAGTCCTGTTGAAAGCTGGGGCTCCATTTCCTGGGGAGGCGGAAGCTGCAGGAGACCAAACACACCTGTGTTTGCTCTGGTCTCTGGAGAAAGTCCTGGTGCTGAGACTCAGGAACTAAGCTTCATTAAAACCCCCAGGTGGTGCCCTAAGCCCCTGGCCCCACAGCTCACAGCCTGGAAACACCCTCCTCAGGCCCCTCCCAAACTTTAAAGTGCCCCCAACAAGCAGCACATCACCAAGTTCTGGAGCAGGGAGGAAATGGGGTGGGGGCGGGGAGAGAGTAATTCTGTAGTTAAGAGCATGCACTTTGGGCAGTACCAAAAGGTTCAAGTCTCAGGGCCACTACTTACTAGTTGGGACCTTCAGATTAACCTCCCTAAAAACCAGTTCCCCCAGCAGTAAAATGGAGATAGTCACAGCACTTCATAAAAATCAAAGAGGTTTAACTAAAAACTAATTACTAAGTACCTGCCACTTAGTAGGTGCTCAATAAACAGTAAGAAAGGAAAGACAAGCTCCCCCAAAACATGCCTGTGGCTGGGCCGAGGAGCGCTCCCTCTAAACTGCCTGCTGGGCACAGTGGTTTGCCTGTGGCCCACGCCTGTCATCCCAGCAACTTGGGAGACTCAAGTTGGATCAAGACTGAAGGAGGATCACCCAAAACACTAACACCATGCCTCTGTACTCTGTCACCCTTAGCTACCTGGTGGGAAAGGATTTAATAAACAAAGATGTCAATGAGTTTAATGTTACCTCTGAGTTACTCTGCCTCAAACCAATGAGGATCACAACTTCAGGGCCAGTGTCAGCGATTTAGCAAGACCCTGTCTCAAAATAAAAAACAAAAAGGGCTGGGGATGTAGCTCAGTGGCAGAGTGCCCCTGGGTTCAATCCCCAGTACCAAACAAAATGAAAAATAAAAATAAAACAAATTCCCTCTCCACAACCCCCTCTTTCCAAGATGGCGATTTGTGGGCCCGAGGACTCTTTTTTTTTTTGGAACTGGTGCTAAATGAGAATGAGAGAGAACTAAAACGTGGTGTGGGAGCAGAAAAGAGGTGGTTTTGACAGCAGTTCTCGACACCCCAGCTCGCCACATGACCACAGGCCCACTCTCTCCTCTCGTCTCCAGGTCCCAGCTCCAGTACTTCCAGAGCGTAACAGAGAGGACACCTACCCCTTAGCAGTGTCCCAGGGGTCCAGCAAGGAGGAAAAGCCAACAGCCACAAGCAACACCCAGGGCTGCACAGTCTCCTGCCTAGATGCCCAGAACAGTGGGCAGCGCTTCCCCACCGTGACAGTCCAGCCTTCCTCAAAGGAAGGGCGGACGGCTACTTGACTGCCTTGGCCCTGCTCAGGCCCCGCTCTCTCTGATCCCTTCTTCCCCAAGAGTCTTTTCAGTCACCTCCCCAGGCCATGCTCAGGCTCACAGTCTAAGGAGACCATACTGGACCCCCTGTGCTCTGAGTTCCCGGATGCCCCGAGATCTCGGAAAAGTGCTTGGAGCCCAGGACCAGGCTGGGACATGCTCACAGAGCCACAGCAAGGACTAGCTCCCTTCTGGGCGGCCCCCCCCCCCCCCCCCCCCCCCGCCCCCCCCCGCCCCCCCCCCCCCGCCGCCCCCCCCCCCCCCCCCCCCCCGTCTCCCCACTTCTGCTCAGCCTCTGAGGCCCCAGCAGAGGGCTGGTGGGGCAGAACCAGGCCCTGCTCCACCTCTCACTGACTGGAAGCATCCACCTGTGTCTAATGACAATAAAGGTGGCTTGAGGAAGGGGTAAGTACACTTGTCCAGCACTGCAGTTCAGGGCTCCAGCCATGGGCAGAGGAAGCACCTTTGTCTACCTTCTCCACAGGACTCAGTCCTGCTTTTATAGACCCCCACATCTTTACAACCACCATGTCCGCTCCACCTCCGGCCTTCGAGCACTAGGATGTGCCATTGTTAGCCACTCAGGCCTCTGAGAGCCTCTGTCCTCATATCTGTAAAATGGGAAATCAAGAATAGGTGTGCAGTGTGTTACCTGCCACTACCAAGAGGGCTTGGGGACAGTGCTGGGGAAGGATTCAAGCAGCCCCAGGGGCTGAGCTGAGGAAGGTCCCTTATAATTGTGATCTGACAGGAGCCCAGGCAGCCCTTGAAAATGTTATTTGGAGATTTACCTGAAGAGTTCACTCAGACACTTCCGCATCTAAACCTTGGTGCTTTTGGAATTTGGGGTCAGAAAATTCCTTGTTGTGGAGAAGAGCTGTCTTCTGCATCACCGGAATCCTGGCAACGTCCCTGCACCCCACTTACTAGACGCCAGTAACACCCCATCCAAACCTATGATATCCAAAAATCACACACACACCCGTTG